AAAAAAAAAAAAAAAAGCACAGGGAGGACGACAAACATGAGGAGCACACATGCCAAGCGCTAGCTGACACGATGACAACAAAGGCTGACGTGGGGGTGGGAGGAGAACAGATGGAGAAGCGAGTCATGCAGTTAGCACTTGTTCACCTGACTGCCCAACAGATTCAGCAGTGGAGAGAGCACTAGTGGACCTGGAATGACGTCGAGAGGCTGCAGGTAAAAGGAACGGCAACACCCACAGGGTTAACACACAAGAAATGCAGGGGCTGCTACCACCAAGGCCGCGTTTCTCATGGAAGAAATGGTGCTGGATATGAATGGACAGCAGGGCTGACCCCACACTCCGTGGTGGCTGCTGGCCTCACACAGTTCTTACACACACAGGCATGAGAGAGGCACTTGTTACAGTGCTTCATACTAAACACGCATTGACGGACTCAGACTCCAGGTTTAGATTCACACCACAAAGCCTCTATCAGCCATTATGAAAATAAGCCACATGAAGGACGTCAGGAGTCAGAGCACCATCTGTACCCAGAGGGGACAGTGGGAGGATGGATTCTTAATTCAGCTCACGAGATGGGTCATTGGTATGTGATGCATATGCCACCATGCACCAAAAACAAAAGCAGATTCATAATGTTATCTCAACAGAAATTCAATGGGCTTACAGGAAGGGGGCTTAACAACTGCAGTTCCATTTTCCCCAGTCAAAATGTTGTGTCCTGTTGTACAAATAGCCTACTCATTAATGTACTTGTTTAACTGCTGAAGCTCAGTGGTAGTGAGTGTAGTGGCCTTCCTTGGAGAAGCAGCTGCAGGACTCTGTTTCTGAGCACCATTTTGGAAACAAAATTTAAGGTCTGGTGTACCCACAGCTAGCTGTAGGATCCTGGGTAATGTACTCAACCTCTCTCAGTCTCAGTTTCTTCATCTCTAAAATGGTGCTGGTAATAGTACCTACCTCTTGGTTCTTATGGAGAAGATTAAAAGAGAATGCACATTAAGTACTTACACCCTACCAGGCACAGTCAGCAGTGCTGGGGACAGTATTAGTGGAGGCAGGGAAGTTCAAGAGCAAAGTCCAACTTACATTTAGGATATCATTTTACAAGCTAATATTTGTAATATGTATATTCATCAACCTGGAGAAATAAATGTTAAATTCTGTCCATTTGAGGAAAGAGGATAATTTTCAGAAATAATTATGAAATAAGGAATTGATTTGAAACATCAATGTACACAGGTCCACACAATATTCAGCATTTCATTATCTTGGAAAAACAATAGATGATTCCTGCTTCTGGTCATTACTCTGGAAAAAGCATGGTGTTACATCACAGAACATTAATGGGTTTAACAAAATCCCCCTGGAAGTGCCACCTTTTACCCACTTCATTATTCTGCACATATGAACGGTCTCACACATTTTGTCATAAGCCATCAAAGCCTCTAATCTCCAACATAATAATTTTATTTCTAAGTTCCTATCATTCTATAAAATATATATTCTGTGATATTAAAAAACAAAAGTTACCTGTTCAATAAATACAAATTTTAGCAACTTAGAGAAAGGGAGAAAGATCCTCTTTTCAGAAGATTCACATACAAAACCTAAACTAACAAATGTCTAAAACAAGACTTAATGTTTTCTTAATCAAGAAAGTTGGTTAACTGTTAAGACTACAAGGAGCTGTGTAGTTATTGCACTAGCACATCAGTACTGTCTCCTGACAGTTTAAAATTGACAACTTTTTTTTTCTGTCTTTTTGAGACAGGGTCTCCCTGAAGCCCCTCCTGGCTTGGAATTCACTATGTAGACCAGGCTGGCCTTGAACTCACAAAGATCTGCCTGCCTCTGCCTCCCTAGTGCTGGGATTAAAGGTGTGCACCACCACGCCTGGCAACAATGGTTTTTAAGCAATACCTGATTTCTGTCTGTAGGTTCCTAAAAAGGTGTTTCTTTGGTTGTTTGAATACAATACTCTACAGTGTATCTGTTGTGTAACAAGATCTCTGCTGCATTCACAAGTGAACGCCCAGCAATGGATCCAAGGGGGACGCACTTATGACAAAGCCTGATGGCAGAAAGATTCTAGAGTCTGTCATCATACTATTGAGATGTTTCAAATGTTCTTACAAACTTAAAAAATGACAGACCAGTTGGCAATCTATCCACAGGTTCCATATCTGTAGATTCAACCACCTACAGTATCTCTACCAAATTTGTAGACCTTTTCTGCCATTAATCTCTAAACAATACATTACAATTATTTTCATAGTATTTATAGTTTATTGCACATTATAAACAATCCAGTGATGATTTAAATGGATGGGAGGATGTGCACAGTTTGTACGCATAACATTTTATAAAAGGAACTTGAGTATCTGCAGATTTTGGCATCTGTAGTCTTGGAACCAATCCTCCATGGATACAGAAGGTAGACATATTCATTAAAGCACAATTACTGTCATTAGCTTTTTTTTTTTTTTTTTCCCCAGTGAAGACTAGCTGTATAAGTCTACCCAAAGGGTCATTGACACACTAATTTCCAAAAAGGATGGGAAGTGATTATTGAAATGAGTAGGAAAAAAAATAAAAAACAAGCTTTCAGGAGTATGTAGCAAACTCCCTTGAGGACAACCACTTTCTAGGAGGTCTCTCAGAATCCCCCAGTCCTAACCCCAACCCTGGAAACAAATACCTTGGTAATATCTCTTAAGTGCTTGCTAAGCCTGTAGAGGTCTCCCTAAAATGCATTTAACACACTGAGGAGATGAAAGATACTCATTACAACTACTTTAGAATGAGGTAGGCTTAAAGTCAGACCTGACTCCAAGCTTGGCGCCACTGCTTGACTTGGGTACTGTAAGAACAGGTTCTGTCTAAGAGCGTAATGATAAGGATGCTTGTCTCATGGTAAGCAGGAACTAAAGGCAATGTGCTTCATGATGCTTTGAATGGTGCCCCATTGTTATTCCTCTGGACACAAGTTCGGGGGACAGGTTTAACCCAAGGAGGGAAAAGGCACGGTCTAACACTTCAGCTCAAAAGACATTTACTATTGCCCTGGCCACAACAAAGAACACAAGTTGATGAAGATAGGTCATTAGGATCCATGCCTTCCACCTTGGTAACAACAATTATACATTTCAATATTTTGGGTTGTCATCAAGACAGTTAAGCAGACCTGTTTACCCAAGAAGTAAAAGTCAGATGTGATGAGTCAATTATTCAGGGTTCAATTCAGATGCCCAGCATTCAGCACTCCTGGTCTACAGACTGCACGCCATATTTCAAGGCTGCCTCCACGGACAGTATAAAATGTCAGTCACAAAGAGAAAATAAAATTGCTGACCTGTTCCTAACAGACAACATAATCCATAAGCAGACTGAATTGCTTACTCATGGAACAAGTTGTGTGGAAGGTCAAACTGTGAGGAAAGATGCATGGATAAACAGCCTGAATTTGAAAGGAAAAATCACCAGTTCATTCGGGAAAAATTATTGCCACCGTTGCTATCGTGGGAATTCAGCTCTAAAGCTTCAGGGTGCTGTGGCATAGCTAACATGCGCTGGGGAAGCTGCCTGCTCAGGCCCAGGAGAACAGCTGACAAAGCAAGGGAAGGAACCACCAAGGCATGGGGATGTCTGGCTGGGCTCTGGCATCTGTTCTCAGAACCTGTATCTCAACTTTGATCACGGACAGTGACTCGGGGAAAAGCTATCAGAAGAGGTATATGGTACCAGCAGGAGACAGATAGAGAAACAGAAAGTGCTCACGCTTTGATCTGACATCTCGCTCTGGTAACGACAGAGTTAAAAGATCGTTGCATAGTCATAGAGTCAAAAATTTAAAAAAAAAAAAATCAGACTGCTGCAGCCCCTGCTTCATCGATCAGTTCAGATCTAGGTCTAATTATTCTGAAATGAACTTCTGTCCTTCATGTTTATCAAAAAACACAGACAGCTAGATGACACTACATAGACTGAACATCTAAAAAATAATTGTCGAAGAATTCATAATGTTTTATTTCATGACAGTGTCTTGATGGATGGCTTTGGAATTCATAATCTGCACTAGATAAAAAGATGTGCTATGTCCATTTTAGAAAAAGGGAGGGCTATGAAAGCTAAGAAGAAAATGCATTCACCCTCCTAAATGTTAGCATAGTTATACTTTCTGTTCTCTCTGAATTAAATCACATACTGGGCTTAGGGGGATATGGCTCAATGGTAGAGTGCTTGAGGACCTGGGTTCTACCCTTTGCACACAAAAAAACAAAAACCCCTCACACGTTTAAATTGATCTCTAGTAAAATCAAAGATAGCTAGAACTTTACTGATTAGACATAACTTGAGAATTCACTTCATGTGCAAACAGCCATTCTCTTTTGCTATTTAGCTTATGCTAGCTAGAAGTGTCACATGGACAGTCTTGCCCTGTGACAAGTGGCCACAACAGACAATGGCAGAGTGAAATGGTGTTTTTTTCCTCTAATGTTTGAAAACTGGGAGTTGCCGAAGTTCAAGCATGCAGAGGGGGACAATGAAGGGTGGCTGAGGAAGAGGAGAGAAGAGGAGCACAAGACAGCAGAGGAGGGAAGCAGTCATTCCACCCAGCAGTGTCTGGGACAAGCACCGGGAGCTCCTGGCCAGCGCCTACGGGTACTCACCGAGTGGAGTGAAGCCCCGAGCAGGGCTGGTATCGCGGCTGCTCTCACGGCTGGTATCGCGGCTGCACCCCTGACTCATGCTGGGTCGAGGGATACGGCTGCTCCGTGCTAGTATGCAGCATGAGGGGTTTCAGAGAAGGTGAACAAGTTTAATGGAGACAGAAAAACTCACAAATGTCAGTCACATTCGGTTAAAGGTAATTATGACATTGTTCCTGCTGCAGAGTCCTGATGACGGGGCCACCTGTCTGAGCTGAGGTCTCATTGACAAGTCAGCTCTACCAACAGGAGTTGATCTGAGTAAACCTGATTATGCTCTATGCCTCAGAAGGCTGCAGACTGAAGCACTGAGGTGAAATTACACTTAAATGTGAGAAATGAAATCTTTCCAAAGGACAAATTGGCATCAAAATATAAGATCCAAAGCTTTAGCAAACTTCTTGACAAGAATGCAGGAGACCACAGCTGTATTCATATGCAACTGGTTCCTAAAAAGACAATTTAGTCTAGATGGACCATCAGAATAAAGGCTCTGATCTCCAAGGTCCACAAACTTCCCTATCAAAAAGAAGAGGGCTCACTTTTCCTAGTGTAGTCTGCTCTACAGAGGTGCCAAAGCTTAGCCTAGCTAGACAGCCTGCCCACTGAGTCAAATGAGTGTTTTACAAACACAAATTCAATCATCCAAACCAACAGATACAAGGAGTCACTGAATTCTTGCCTTTTTTAGGAGAATCCATGCAGAATTATACATAACAAGTAAACCGACAATTTCAGTATTTGGGCAAAAAGATCCCTTCATTGGCAGAGACCAGTTCATTACTTTATAATTGTCTTCTGACACTTTATTATTCATATGACAGTGAGATAGTAAGACAGAGTCTAATAACAATTTGGCTGCGAAGCTCAGAAAGACCAGGATTCCTCTGCTTCTCAATTTGAAAAAATAGAAATACATTACTGGCAAATGCTCCAAAGCAATATTGCTTACTGAATGGAAGTAGTGGAATGCCTAACAGCACAGTGGGTGGGGCTGTCTCATCTTCAGAGGTCTAGCACTGCCAGACTGGAGAGAGATGGCTGTCAGAGACTTGGGAAACTAATAATCTTAATTGTATGATCTAAAAACAAGCTTATTTTCTATATTACAGTGATCTATTATTTCAGAGCAAAGATTTATTGCTTAGTAAACTACAACAAGAACATCTCACTAAGCAGAATCATAAAGTTTCCCAACAAAGAATACGTAAGTGAAAAATGAAGCAAATTTGAGCTTAGAGTTTGCTCAGCCGCTCTGTGCTAGGGTGGAACTCAACTCTGAGAGGTAGGTGGAACTAGTTCCTAAGAGCTTGGGTGGAACCAGGATCTCAGAGCTCTGGTGGGACCAGAGACCCTCAGGGCTTGGATGGGACCAGCCCCTGAGAGCTTGGGTGGAACTAAATTCTGAGAACTTGGGTGGAACTAGACCCTGAGAGCTTGTTAAGTGATGTTTGAGTGCTTAGTACTCTCAAGGGCAAAGGTGAGGTTGGAATAAAATCTGAATGATCCACCCCAAAAGCCCTCCCTAGAAATTCTCAATGTTCCTAAATTTTGCCAAGGTGACATGGAAACCCTGAGTTTTTCGCTCAATGTCTTAGTGATTATTATTTTATTTTATGTGTGTGAGTGTTATGCAGCATGTATGTAAGTGCACCCATGCTGTACAATACCCACAGAGGTCATAAGAGGGCATCAGACCCCTTGGAACTGGAGTTAACAGACAGTTGTTAGCTGTCATGTGGGTACTGGGATCCAGACCTGGGTATTCTGCAAGAACAGTTAGTCCTTTTAATCACTGAGCCATTTCTCCAGCCCTCTTAGTGACTATTTAATCAACAATTCTTGGTAACATTCTAAAGAGCTCCTATAATAAGGGAAACAGCAACAGGTACCACAGTGAATCCTTAAAGAAAGCTGGAGAGTGTATACCAACCCGGACTTAGACGTTTCCTAGAATGTACAAAGCAGGGATGCTCATCCTTAGAGATCAATGTACATCTGAGCCAAGAAGTGGCCTGTGCAGTTCCAGCTGGCTCAGCTCCTTAGCCTCCCTGTATCCCAGCCTCCCGAAAGTAAAATAAGGAATGAAAAAACATCCAACATTTAAACAAGATGCATACTGGGGGCTGAGGCATCCACAAAAGCACTTCGGAATTGCTCACCAAACAGCATACATGAAAATAATGATTTTTTTTTCTACTTTTTTTTTTTTTTAAAAAAAAAAAAAAAAAAAAAAAAAAAAGTCCTGACAGCTTTCCATATAAGTACATGCTCAGTTGATTATACCTAAACTTGGATCCAGGTTCCACTCCCTTCCTTAAGTTCATATATATGGTATAACAACAGGAAAAAAATAGAAGACAATACTTCCTAACAAAGTTTATCCTCCAGCTGTTTCATCAGAGATTCATCTGTCCATCAGTGCTGACTGGCTCTTTTATGATGTAGCTAGTAGTAGCATATAGAAAAATAATTCTACCTACTATATTGGCAAAATCTTCCATAGTTGCCCTAAATTGTATTAAAGTACATTTTGTGATAATATCAATAGTTCAAATGTTAGATAATTTAAATCCTAAGAGGAAAAACACCTACTTACAATACTAGTTCTGAGAAGATTTAAAATAAGCATAGAAAACTATTTTTACAAATTAAGTGATCCAGACCCATGTGTATATATCTATATATCTATAGTTATCTATATATAAGATCAGCTTGTCTTAAATGCTCAAACCAAACATCCTGAGTGAAATTACGGCATGGAGAAGGTGCAAGAGGAACAGACAAGGAAATTAGTTGACCTTTCAACAAGCAGTGCTTCTAGGAAGCTCTTGACTCTTGTGCCTATGCAAAATGCTGTTAGGTTTCAAAAAAAAACTACTTGTCTCCTTTGCATTTTTTGATAGATTCTATCCTATACCACAATGTATAAGGATATTCCTTACTTTTGCCTTTAAAATTTTTTTTATTCTTATTTGTGTATGTGCATGTGTGTATGTCCGCGTGGGTGTATGTGGCTTGAGTGTGAGGGCCCTTGCAGGCTAGAAGAGGGTGTCAAAAGGATTCCTTGAGTTGGAACGACAAGCAGTTGTGAGCTATCTGCTGTTGGAAACCGAACTGGATCCTCTGGAAGAGCAGAAAGTGTTCTTAACCTGAGCCATTTGCCCAGCCCTAATTTTGCCTTTTATGGAAGGATACAATCAGAACTCATAGCAAAGAGCATACAAGGATTAATGGAAACTACTGGAAGCTAAAGGCATGAAATGCCTCTTTAGACATTTTCAAGTCCCAGTAATCTAGTTTTACAGTGGAATTATTTAATTTCAATGTTCCCAAAATATTTTTAAAACAGAAAGTCTTAAGACATTTAAAATGTATAATGTAAATTGTAAAAACAGTAAACGGTTTTTCTAACCTTTTCAATAGACAGGTAGTAGAAGGGAACCAAAGATAAACTGCTAAAATACAATCACTAAAGATGCTGCTGGCCAATGGGATTGGAATTTTATTTAATAGGAACGGGGGGTTGGAAGGGAAGAAGGAAGGGAGGGAAGGAGGGAGGGAGGGGAGAGGGGGGGAAGGAGGAAGGAAGGAAAGGAGGGAGGGAGAGAGGGATGGAAGGAGAGTTAGCTCATGGACTTTGCTTCTTAATTATCCAGTAAGATTACATGCAGTGGCAGCTGGATGTGACGGATTGTGCCTGTAATTCCAGCACCTAGGAAGCTAAGGTAAAAGAACTGGTATCACAGCTAGACCATCCTGAGCTACACAATGAGTTCCAGGCCTGCCAGGGCTACAGGGTGAGACCCTATCTTAAAAACAACAACAAATAAAACAAACAAAAAACCCTTAAATGTCAAATAAGAGTCTTGGCATCATTTTTATAACAAACAAAAAAACAGAAGTTCAGTTAAATATATTTCAAACAAAAAGGGAATAATTTGCAGATCATCACCAGAATTGGTTTTCTTTCTTTCAATTGTGTATGTGGTGGAAGGCCCATGTGTGCCACAGCATGTGGCAGTCCGATGACAACTTTCAAGAGTTATTCCTCACCTTCTACCTTGCTGAGGGAGGGTCTCCCTTGTTTCAATCCCTGAGCTCTGTATTCCAGGCTAGCTGGCCTGTGAGCTTCTGGGTGATTCACCTATGTCTGCCTCCCATCTCGCTGCAGGAGTGCTGGGATTACAGATGCATGCCATCACACCTGGCTTATATGGGTTCTAAGGACAGAACTTGAGTCCTTGCCAGGCCTGTGCAGCTAGCACCTTTACCCACTAGAATTGGGTTTCATTGTAAATTCTAAGCCTGGTTTAGCTGTCACTAAAACTGTGGAATTAATTGGTTTGGGAACTATAAGAAACATTCTTAAAATATGTTGCCCCCCCCCTTAGAATATTTGTATTTAAAACTGCTATACGATAAACCAAATGATTACGTATAGACATATGTATCTAGTATATACTCAATGATCTCAGTAAACAATATTCTATTACTGAAGAATGCTAAACACCTCCGACCTTATAAAAAAAAAGAGTCCCCACAGGTAGCAGAGGGATAAGTAGAAAGGTAAATTTTGTTCAGATATATTTCTTTATATGTATGTATTCTCACAATGTACAGAAATTTAAATAAAACGCCTTCAACAGAACTTTACATATGATCTTAAAACTTCACACACTAATCATTTCCTTCATGAGCATCAAGGAAATAGCATTCTTCAAAATAATACTTTAAATAAGAGGTCTTTGGAAGGGAACAAACTCCTTTACTGATGGTTTTATGACACAGTTTTTCATAGCTTAAAAAAATGCTACCTTGGGGTTGGAGAGGTGGCTCAGTGGTTAAGAGTACTGAATGCTCTTGCAGAGGACTGGGTTCAATTCCCAACACCCGCATGGCAGCTAACAATTGTCCATAACTCCAGTTCCAAGGGATCTGATGCCCTCTTCTGACTTCCTCAGGCATTGCATGACATGGGTGCACTTATATACATGCAGGCAATACACTCATAAAATAAAAATAATACTCTTTTTAAAAAATTACCTTTTCACTTGGGGTGGTGGCGCATGCCTTTAGTCCCAGCACTGGGGAGGCAGAGGCAGGTGGATCTCTGTGAGTTCAAGGCCAGCCTGGTCTACATAGTGAGTTCCAGGCCAGCTGGGGCTACAGGGAGACTCTGTCTCAAAAAGAAAAAAAAAAAAAAAAAAAAAAAAAAAAAGAGGCTATCATTTCAACTACATACAGTAGGGACACCCAAGTAAAGATCATGGAATAGCATGTCTGAAAGTTATATTAGATCACTAAAATTAGATCACTAATTTCAAGAAGGTAAAGTGTGGTGCAGTGGTTGTCAACTGGATAGACTCACCTAGGAGACAAGCCTCTGAGGAAGTCTGTAAGAAAGTTTCTAGATTGAGTTAACTGAGTTAGGAAGACCCACCCTGACTATGGGTGATATCATACCACAGGATGGGTCCAGGAATGAATAAAAGGAAGAAAATGAGCTGAGCAACAGATGCATCTCTCTGTTTCCTGACTGTAGATTCAATGTGAGCAGCTGCCTTGAGCTCCTGCTTCCATGACTTCCCTGCCATGATGGAATGTACTCTAGAACTGTGAGCAAAATAAACTTTTCCTCTCCTAAATTAACTTGGCTGGGTAGATTGGCATGGCAACAAGAAAAGTGACTCAAACAAGTGGATCTTTACTAAATACTAAAAAGAAATTTCTAAACAAAAAGGACATTTAAAGAGTATAATACTAGCATGGATTGTAAACATGTATCTCACATAAACCAGAAATTAACAATGGAAACAGACAGCTGAAGTCACATACCTAGATTTAAAGTAAATGTATTCCAAACAAAAATCAAACACAAGTATGTTGCAGCATCAGATGAGAAGTTCAGATATTCCAGCTTGGAAACACAAGTTCAAACCACATATCCATTCCTAAGCATCTACCGTGGCTGAGCCCTGCCAGTCTTGCTGCCCTTGACCTCTGCCCCACCGTCACTGTAGTGCTATGAATTACTAGTGGGTTTGTTTCTCTCTCTCCTAGAGCATCTTTTTGAGACATGGTCTCCCTGTAGCCCTAGCTGGCCTGGAACATACTATGTAGACCAGGTTGGCCTTGAACTCACACAGATCCACCTGCTTCTGCCTCCTGAGTGCTGGGATTAAAGGCACGCACCACCATGCCCAGCTAGAGCATCTTTATTTTTTAAATTTATTATTTTTATTTTATGTGTATGAGTATATTGCCTGCATGTAGGTAAGTGCACCCGTGTCGTGCAATGCCTGCACAGGACAGAAGAGGCTGTCGGATCCCCTGGAACTGGAGTTTCGGACAGTTGTTAGCTGCCATGTGGGTGCTGGGATTCAAACCTGGGTCTTCTGCAAGAACAACCAGTGTTCTTAACCGCTGAGCCATCTCTCCAGCCCCTAGAGCATCTTTTTAAAAAAAATATTTTATTTTGTGTGTATGAGTGCATTGCCTACCTGTATGTAAGGGCACCCACATTATGCAGTGTTTGAGGAGGTCAGAAGAGGGTGTCAGGTTCCCTGGAACTGGAGTTAGCTACCACGTGGGTGCTAGAAACTGAAGCAGGGTCCTCTGCAAAAGCAGCCAGTACTCTTAATCACTGAGTTGTCTTGCAAGCCCCCCAGAGCATCTTTTCCAGGTACTTTGAGGCAGAACCTGGGACACTTCTCTTAGCAGGAAATGGACAAGGGATAAAGACCCTTCCTTTTGACGGTCCTAGAGCCCCCATCACAGTGTATGCCATACAGTTTTACATTTCTACCTCTTGCAAATGGATTACAAGTCCTCAGAAGTGAAAAGCTAAATCTATTTCATTTATCTTTTAGTTCTCGGGTCTAAAAAAGGGCCCAGCACACAGTAAACATTCAAGTAAAAAAATGTTAAGATGAATCAATATGAAAGATAAGTCAACAAGAAGGGCTAAGAATACAATACTCTAATTTTATAGTAAGATTCTTATTTTAGGAAGTAGATAAAGATGTAATAAAAGTATATACATTAGTATTAATTTTTTGTATTTTATCAGAAAGGCTTCTAACTTTTATATTAAAACGGGACTATATGAGTTGAATTTTAACAGATGGTCTTCAAGATATGGAGAATACTCTGTATGAGTATATAGTATTACAAAGAAACTAATTACAACATTAAAATAAATATTATATATTAATTTTCATCAGTCTGTAGCTTTCATTTTCAACAAAATATTATCAAAACTATCTATACATATTCTTTGACTGCAAGTTTCATAAATTAGGTCAGAGATCAAAATAAAAACAAAAAAGACCCAAAATATATTTTTGAAAAATTAATATATGTTAATGGCTATTTAGTATGAATCAGTAATAGAAAAATGAAGAGTGACTTTGCTTCTAATTGGGACAGAAACTTTTTTGGAGACAGGGTCTCACTGTGTACTCCTGGCTGGCCTGGAACTCATTATGTAGACCAGGCTGGCCTTGAACTCATAGAACTGAATGTTTCTGCTGGGACTCAAGGTGTACAACACCACCGAAGGATGGAAACTCTCATTTTCCAAATTCTAGTGCTTTGCAAAATGACTGTAAAACATATGATATAATCCTATTCAATTATTTGAACCACAAGTTCCACACATTTTTAGTTCTTCTGAAATCTCAACCCAATCTGTATAAAGCACAAAACAAATTGCCTTTTTATCACAGCTAAAGTAACACCCTCAGTTTAAGAGCAGAGCTCTGTTTCTCATATTAGACATAGCAATTAGATCATAATCAAGATTACGGCCACACTGGGAACAGTTTTCCAAGTGTTTGAGAATCCTTACCTAATCCTATTCGGTTTGGACTCGTTTCTCGGCTACATCCCTGACTCCTGGGAATCTTGCTTCGTTTTTCTGAAGATGGTGTTACAGGTGGGCCTCTTGAGGAGCCCCCAGCAAGTCCACCATAGCCACTTCCCAACAGCTTCCCTGGGGAACTTGACCGGCTGCCAGCTGAAAGTGAGGAAAATGAAGGTGAGTGCCAGATGCAAATCAGCAAACAAGTCACAACAATTAAAAAATCAAGTTTCTACACCTGAGTTTGGAACAAATAGTAAGAGAATTTTATATAAAAATGGTATTTTAGTCAGTAGCACTATTTTTTTAATGTAGGCACAAAAAACTATGATCTCTGCTTAGAAGACTTACTAAGCAACTCTCCAAAATGAATGCACAATTTCTGATTGAAAAGCAAATTGAGTATCAACAGAAGCCTCCCTTTTCCAATTTGTATCTTTACAAATAACCAGAGACATTATGCAAGCATACTCCCACCCCACTATGCTTCTTACTGTGACTGTGTTTGTTTTTTATTCAATAAGAGCTGACTGGTTAAAAACTAAATGTAATTGTTGGAGAAATGAAAATATAAATATAACAAAAACTTCTTAAGTGTTAGGAAAAATAGGTTCAAGAAAACTCCATTAATTTAATAAATGGAAAAGAAAGAAATAACTAGAATTTTTTTTTTTTTTAAATCAGAAAGCAGTTGGTTTTCCCATAAAACTTATGCCACAATTGCACCAATGGGCCCAGCTCTCTGCAGGTTCATGATCAAGCCAGTCAAAATTCCAGCATGAAGAGGATAGGGGCCCACGAAACCCCACCTATAGCTGAGGAGCTATTGGCAGTTGATGGCTGCTGAGGACAACAGTCACTTTTCCTTAGGGATGTGGCCCCTGGTAGGTTGCCCATGCTCCAGTGGATGGCACTATACCCACACACATACTGGAATGAACTCAGTGGGTTAAAAAAAAAAAAAAAGATTACATGAAGTTAGGAAGAAGTGGGGAATACAGGAGGAGTTTAAAGATATTTAAAATGTTGATTAAAAAAATATATTGATAAAGAGTAACTGGCCACAGAAATAATAACCACAAACTTTATATTCCACACACATCATTCTGAAATACAAAGCAAGAAAAGGATAAAACTCTAGGGAGAAATGGGAAAAGTCATAATTAGTAAAAGACCCTATGGCAAAACTAATAAGCCTCACAGAAACTGACAGAGCAGGCCATCAAAACTCTGTGTGCACACTATGTATGGCAGCATGCATGTGATTAATACAGACAGCCATAAACTTGGCAACAATGCTTCTGTCAGTGATAGATGCAGATATAACAGCAGTTCTACAAAACTGCATCACCTAGTGATGCTGTAGCCAGCGAAGACAGTGTAAGTACACTCAAACAGCCTAACATCCCCAGAATGTACCCATCATTCTATAATGCATGGCCTCACACACGTCTCTTGCATACACATGTATATCTCAACAACAAGTTCTTTTCACCAATCCACACACATCAACTATGTGTTGATAAGCCCCAAAGCAAATCTTAAAAACCTGCAAATGTAAAAATCACACAGGCCACATTCCCTAAAACGTATGTAATAAAACCAGAAATCAGAAATAAATAACCAGGCTGGTGATTCTTTCTTATTAGTTAAGTGTCTGGATATAGCTATAATCATTTTCTGTGGGGCAGAATTTTCTATCAGAGAAAACAGCAAAATTTTAAGCATTGACATATAACAAGTGACAGTCATTTAATTAGATTATCTCCCTAAATAAGAAGGTAGTAAAATTTTTATGTATAAAATATACATTAATATGTACCAGAACAGAATGACCTGAGGAGTGGGGGGAAAACTTTTGAAACAACTTACCTGCAAATCTCTCTCAGAATATAAATTTTAAAAATACATTATTTAAAAATGTTTCTAAAATGTGTATCATATATTAAAACTATCATTATTCTAATGAATCACTTGGGTGGTACACAGGAAAGTGGATACTTTATAATGATTAAACTACAAATAATTTGAAATGAAAATCATTAATAAAATCAGAAATATATAGTACTATGAAGAACGATCTCAAGACCTACTGATTTTGTTTATGAAACTTGAGCATAAAATAAGCTATTAAGTTATGTAAAGGGCAAAAAGAAATCCATTTCAAACTCTAGTATTTGAAAATACAGAAGAATGCAGAAAGATTAATTAAGCTTATAACAAAGAAATTAATGCTGTGCGAAGAACATGGGAGAGGGAGAAGGCCAATGACCACAAAAAAGGCAAGAAGAGAAATGGCTTACCACCAGCAGGATTAGCAGATCTGGATCCTTGATTAGGAGAGCAGACCAAAGTACAGGCAAAAAGTGAATTAAAAGACAATAATACAATACAAAAGGTCAGCATGCAACACAATACAAATGGTTTATTCAAAAGCACAGTAGCAAATAGCTATTGTTCCAAGGGCTCATTTCTCTTAATCCACTTATATGCTTGTTTGCTTTATATATAACAAGTTTTAGCATTTTTTCTGTTAATGAAACTTCAATTTACAATGTGCCAAGATTAAGAGGTGTGGAGAGGACAAGCACTCCACTCTCTTAGAGCGCATCTCCTCTCCAGTCTCAAGCACCCTGAGGGAAGTAAGCATAACTTATTCATCTTTACCTCACTTCCCTCTCTAACAATGCTCTGTACATACCAGTGACTGCAAACATGGGGCTACAACTATTTCACCTGAAATGTTTTAGGACTTTCTTTGGTCTTCAAATATGTAAAATATTTCCATCAAGAGCCCTAAATCAAGAATAAATCTACTTAGTATTAAAGCAGGCCCATGAATGTCAGTATTACCCATATTTGTAGAAGAAATACATTTACCTCATTAAAATTATTGTTAAAACAATGAATTTGTATGCATAAGCTTGAGGTGCAAGCTCAACCAAGTCTAGTATTTGGTGGTCTTCCTTCCTGCGGTTGCAATCTGGTAAGAAAAGCGAAGCTGAGGACTTTTTAAAAGTGGAGCCCCAAGCTCAGGTTCGGTATGCTCAGAAGTTTGAAGAATCAAGCCTCTCCTAATCTCCTAAGCCTCACTACACAAGCAACTCTAATATTCACCTCCTCCTATGTACAGATGGCAATAGGGACTCCTAAAATCTGCAACAGAGTCCCAACACTAATTCAGCTGAGGTGAGAACCCTGCCAAGGCCAGTCAATGATCAACTAACAAAAAGAAACCTACAGTATCACTCAACCCTCACTTTCCACAGAATGAAACACACTGCAGTTAAAGGCTCAATTTTATTATATATGTGTATGTACTATATATTGTAACATTTTATCACACACTCACAAACCTAGATTCTAAGTCTTGAATACTTCTAGTCAAGAAGAATTCCTTGTAGTAAGAGTTAACCTTTATGTTTGAGGCTGTGACCAGAGTCATCCCTCCTGTGTCTCTAGAGACCAGGAGGGCTCAGCAGAACCACAGCCAAGGTGTGTATCCCAGAGCAGGACCTTTTGAGCTGTACCTGCACCCACATCAAAATCAAAATCCAGGCTAAGTGCTATGTAAGCAAGCCCTTCTTGGTCCCAATGGACTACATCGGCCTCATGGTATAAAACCATGCTGAGCCTTCTTTCCTGAGCTGCCTGAAGTGAACAGGGATAAAGAAGAAAGTCTTTGGGCTGGAGAGATGGCTCAGCAGTTAAGAACACTGACTGTGCTTGCAGAAGACCCGGGTTTGAATCCCAGCACCCACATGTCAGCTAACAACTGTCTATAACTCCAGTTCCAGGGGATCTGACAGTCTCTTCTGTCCTCCACGGGCATTGCATGACAAGGGTGCACTCACCTACATGCAGGCATAACACTCATACACATAAAACAAAAATAATAAATAAAATATTATAAAAAGAAGAAGAAAGCCCTTCTAAGGCTGCCCAGCCTCAGCTAAGACAGGAGCCTGCAGACCTGAGGCCAGTATGGCTCTAGACCTCATTTGCACGAGAACTTCAAACGCCTTGTTAAATCCTCAGGAAATCCGGGCATGGTGGCACACGCCTTTAATCATGGCACTTGGGAGGCAGAGGTAGGTGGATCTCTGTGAGTTAAAGGCCAGCCTGGTCTACATAGTGAGTTCCAGGATAGCTGGGGCTACAGGGTGACCCTATCTCAAAATGACCGGAAAAAAAAAAAAAGAATCCTCAGGAAAGGTGTGCCTAGTTATCACTAATTTACAGACTGCAGAAGAGTCAGGCTTCTCTGACAGTGGAGATGTGCAGATCACAGGACATAATGCGGCCTCAGAAGAGACAGCAGTATGGTGGACTTTCCACCATATTTGCAGAATGTTTGTTTCGCACGAGGACTGTGGTTATCAAAACAGGTATAGAGAAGACTTTGAATTCAGAAGTAGTTGCTCAGGGCATTCTCAATTCTAAACAAGATCCTGAAGTTTAGCTGCAGGTTTCACACAAGCCAGATCACTTCTCGTGCCACAATAGACATAGATTCCTGCTAGCTCAGGGAGGCTGATCTGAGGGAATATTCTTGCTTCTGGGTTGAGAAGACTATCCCCATGCTCACCTTGACCAGGAGGATGCTAATACCCACCCAGCTCTGCTCCACATGCACAGAGAGGGAGCAAGCCCCTCATAGCCACGTGGAGCTAGGATACCAGGGTTGCATCCTAAGGATATATAGAATAAATTCACTCTAGCTATGCTGCTTCTCTGGCTAAGGCTAACAAAACAACTGACTTCATGTACAGAAAAGCTTTCAGGGAAGAGAGCAAGAGTAGCTACGCAAAGCGAGAGCCCACATTGACAAGAAGACAGGTATAGGCTGTGAACATTCGCACAGAGGGTTAGGGCATGGGGAGCTTTTAATGGATTTGCTTATTTACCACTGAGAAAAAAATTAGAATCAATAGTTGACATTCAGGTGCTACTTGAAAATTACAGTGGAACAGTTCCTTATCAATACAAAAATGTGTTATAGAAGGTACATTTTGATTTGAGAGACTTCAGGATAAAGAATGAAAGTATATTTTCATGTTTAATGTGTAACAATACGTGTATGTGTGTTGTATATATTCATGTGTGTGTATGTGCATGTGGAGGCAAGGTCTTCCTCAATCATTCTCCACCTAATTTTTTGAGACAAGGTCTCTCTCTGGGACCTGAAGGTCACCAATTAGGTTAGACTTGGCTGACCAGCAAGTCCCAGGGATTGATCTGTCTCTTCATCTCCCCCATGCTAGAATTACAGGTGTGTGTCATTGTACCCAGCTTTTTATGTGGGTGCTAGAAATCCAAACTTAAGTCCTCATGCTTATAAGGCAAGCATTTTACTGACAGAGTAATTTCTCCAGTCCATGAAATTAAAAACCACTTAAAGAAGACTGAAGCACACTTGGCATGTTCCTAGCAGTGGGGTTACTCAAGGATATCTCAGAGTAACAAAAGTTTCCTCTCTTAGGTTGCTGCAGATACTGAAAGCTGTTCAGGTGTGAGACCCACTACTGAAGGAAGCTAAGGTAACCAAAATATAAAATTCACTTCTTACGCTGAGACTGTGAAACCACTTTGGCGCGACTGCGGCCCCGACTGTCGGAGGGTGTGGAGACGACATTGGTGGCACTCCCAGAGCTTTGCCGTCTCGTGCGGATCCGACCTGGAGGATACAAAACAGTGTTTTCATAACATTTTCAGTAAGTGTGACGTACTTAAGAACCACACAATGAGCACAGGGCACTGATGCGGCCAACCACGCAGGAAGCAGAGGCCTCTGCCAGTCAGGTCCCCCACAAGAGACACCAATGTAACCACAATAGGATGAATAGGGAGAGTGTGTTTAAGTTCTCTACGGGGCTTCTCTGGGTTCAAGAGAGCACAAAATGCCTCTCTGGCCATTAGCCAACCAGAACTGGATGTGGCAGAGACAACCCCAGCATCTGTAGAGCTTGCAAAGAGGAATGCAGAAAACAAGCTGTAAGGTTTGAAGAAGATTCAATAAAGGGTAGTAAGGACCAACAAAAGCAAGCACAGCATTAAAAGAGAAAAGAAAAAGACTGGAACCCTTGCTTTTTTTTTTTTTTTTTTTTAAAGATCCTTTCTCTTTTTATATGTATAAGTGTTTTGCCTGTAAGTATGAAAGTACATCACATGCATGCAATGCCCACGAAGACCAGAAAAGTGTATCAGATCCCCTGGAACTGGAGTTATGGATAGCTGTTAGCCATCATATGGGTGCTGGGAATCAAACCCAGGTCCTCTGGAAAAACAGCAAGTGTTCTTAACTGCTGAGTCATCTCTCCAGCCCCATGATGACTTTGGGGGGGGGATGGGGGTCTTTTAGAAACAGCATTTCCCTGTAGCCCCAGCTGGCCTGGAACTCACTATGTAGACCAGGCTGGCCTTGAATTCACAGAGATCCACCTACCTCTGCCTCCCCAGTGCTGGGACTACAGGCATGTGCCACCGCACCCGGTTTCCATGATGACTTTTAATAGAAGCTTAAAAAAATGAAGCTGGGCATGGTGGCACACACCTGTAATCCCAGCACTTGGGAGGCAGAGATGGGAGGATCAGAAAGACTTCTAGGTCATTCTTGGCAACACAGTGAGTTTGAGAACCAGCCTGGGCTACACGATACCCCATCTCAAACCCCACTTTCCAAGACAGAAAGAAAAAAATAAAAGACATATAAAAAATTCTGTATATTTACTAAAATGCTATATTATTTATCCTAGGAATTATTATCTCTGTCAAACTGGAGTTTTCACAGAGATACATAAAGCAGCTTTTCAGTGTATAAACAAGAAGAGAGCAAAACTGGGAAACCAATCTGTCTGGTGTCACACACTTGGCTTTGGTGTCTGTCCTTGCTAGATGGCTGGCCTACAAGTACCTCGGTTTCCCTAATTCACCCAGCAAAACCCAAGTAGGCAACCAAGCAAAATGAAATTGAAAAAGCAACCTATTTAAATGTTATTACAAGCATTTCTTGTGTTATTGTTACTACAAAATAGGTCACATAAAAACCTTTTTTAAAAAATGAACATCTACACCCATGCAGCCTGAAGAATAAAATCCCTCTTGCTGTCCCATTTCCTCAGCATTTGGTAACATGATCCTAAGGCCAGTTTCAAGATTCTCTCCAATTTTTTTTTCTGTAAATATTTATATACATGCAAGAAATATATGCCATTGTTTTGTATATTTCCAAAGTTAGAATTATAACACAGGGTACCTTCTATAATAAAATACTGTTTTACTCAACATCTTATTTGTGTGGGCACTTGTGGAATTAATTTTTCTATGCTGGCACTGGAGAGATTTTATTTTTTCCATATGACTAATTCTCAAATAAGCTTCCTTAACTCTTTTCTTACTAATTTACAATGCCACGTCTTCTTTCCAAAAACTTAGTGACTTTTTATCCTCATTCAAAGGTGCTTTGTTATAAACAGCATTTTTATTAAATTTTATTTTTGTTAATAATTTTATCATTGATATACATTGTATATGTTATGCTACTGATGTACATTTACATGCTTGTATGTGCATACATACACATATACATATATGTGTATGTATACACACATACACACACACACACACACACACAACTTTGTTTCTTGAGACAGTTTTGCTGGGCAACCCAACCTAGCCCGATACTTGCAATGCAGTCCAGGCTGGCCTTGAACTCGCAGCAATTCTCCTGCTTCAACTCCCTGAGTCCTGGGATTTATAGATACATGCCACTATACCTGGCTTTTAATCATTACACTTCAATCTTAAGTTTAGAATCTTTGTTAAACTTTTATTAATGTGCAGGTAGAGTTGGGGTTATCCAAACAGAATATTACCTATAAATAAGATATCAACAGCTTCTTTTCAAACCACTTTTCATTTCTTTGCCTCTGTTGTCTTGCTCATGTAATACAAAGTGAAACAGAAGAAGTGAGGGTAAGTACTGTTGACTCAGAAATTCTGGGGCTGAGGGTATAGCTCAGTGACAGAGGGCATAGACAAGGACTTGGGGTTCAGTTCCCTTCATACACATATACCAAAAAAAGATGGGCAAAGGTCCCTCTTGTTCTCTTCTGGTGAAGTTACCTTCTTGCTTAATGAAGCAGGCCATGCACATGCAGGGCTTACTTCCTATCTCTGTCCTGCAGAATCATTCCAGCAATTGGCCACTGGCCCCAGGGTTCAGCCAGTAACCTGGGTATGGAAGTCAACTTTGCCACCTCCTACCAGGGTCCTGAGTTGGCTGCGGTCTGAAGCTGTTGTGGCTGTATGGCTTATTCCATATTGGCAGGCTGTTCTCAATTAGGAGGATCGTTTTGGCTACAAAATTCTATGTATTGCACTGACTAAAAAATTCAAGTTTCCTATTTCTTTTGCAAACCATAGGTAGTGATTTTACACCTATGGTAGATCCTTAAGTCCTCAATGGCTCATTCTGCTTTGAGTACTTTTCTTTGAGTACTTTTCAAAGTTACATATGCTGTAACTTGGGCCTACAGACTCCTATTTGGCTGATTTTAATCTGTGGAAAGTCTGAAGAACAGATCTGAGAGTGACTTCCTCTATGAAAATTCAGTGTTTGTTCCTGCCCAACACTCTTGGGGATAACACAGACTACTTACTTAATTCTTTGGTATGGGATTTTTCAGGTAGCAGAGACTGAAACTTCAGCTTAGTATGAAGTTTCAGTTATAAAGTATTAGGGAAGATTGTTCTCTCTGTGAATGACAAAGTTAAAAGAGACAATGAAGCAATTTGAAGACAGTTTTTCCACCTGTCCACTATGGATATATGGCCCCTTGCTGATGCCAGCTGACTTCACACCAGTGTCTCTCACCTCTGGTGAGTTCAAGGTTCTGTTTCCTGTCTATCCTGTGACTCACACTGCTATGACCTCAGGACAGCCTTAAATGACCTCTTGGTTTTGAAGGGAAAGCAGCATGGTTTGAAGGGCTTCTGGGGAGTTGTAGTCAGGTACATGTTTACTTCACAGGTAGAGTAAATTTTCTGATTTGATTTTTCCTCTGAGTTGGCAATACTACTCTAAGTGCCTGAATATGTTCTGAAGAAATGATGTAAAATATTTTGTGCTCTTTAGGAGAAATCAATGCTACTCAACAGATGCCCAAAGCCATAAAAATAGAATTCAATTGTGTACTGTGACCAAATGACAGAGATGGATAGATGTGGAAAAGGGGAGAAGATAACAGAAAGAATACAAAGAACTATGCACAGCAATCAAAGAAAAATTCTAGACCCAGAGCTGCACCAAACATATATAACTGGAGAGGAGCAGACACAGGAAACAGAACTGTAAGAGGAGTGAAAGCCTTCAACAGTCATGGACTAGAGAGAATATTCAGATTTCATGGCTTTTTAATACTGCTGCTACAATTTTATTTTGTCATGTTTTCATTCCTCTAGAAAAGATTCCCAAGCAGTAGAGACTGAATCTGTGTTCTAAGTTCAACTTGCAGGCATGGTTTCCTATGTTCAGTTCAGCCTAAGGCCAATTTCTTAAACTGTAGCTACCACAACTTAATGTGAGGTTTATAAAAAACAAAAAATTAGGAACGATGAAAAAGGTTTATGAACAGTCAACAACCAAAAAATGAATTCAAAGTTAAACTTGTACTGTAGCTTCTGGCAGGGCTTGCCCGTGCTGCACTGGGAGACACAACACAGTCACTCTGCACTTCTGGTGTGGCCACAGCAGACAACTCCAGTGAACATGTTCAGGAACATCGCAGATTCAAGATTGAGGTGTGCTATGAATCCAGTGTTTTTCTTGTATGTACAAAGTTTCCTGCTCTTTCAGAAACAATCATTTTATTATAAAAAACAAAGACTTCACATTATCATTATCCCTCAGCACTCAAGTATAAATTAGTCTATCTTTGTGGTGTACTGTATTAGAACATTTGATTTAAAGATTGCTGTCTGAGTTTCCTACAAACTAGATCAATGAATCAGCTTGGGGTCAGGACAAAATTTGCATTGATTCAGGCTCTAAACATACCTGTACCATCTTGTACTATGTATTTATATGGAGCAGTGTTCTGGACATACACTGCTATAAAATCAAAACATCAATAGATTCTGAAAAATGTTGAAGAGGCTCTATGTCCAGAAATACCAGTTATTCAGCCAAGATCCCAGTCTTTATATAAAAAATAAACAAGCTCATTTATCTCAGTACTATGCAAATTTCTAGATTTCTAGCCCCTAAATTTCTAGATTTTTGTAAAAATTAATGTAAGTCTTGGGCTGGAGAGATGGCTCAGCGGTTAAGAACACTGGTTGTTCTTGCAGAAGACCCGGGTTTGAATTCCAGCACCCACATGGCAGCTAACAACTGTCCGTAACTCCAGTCCCAGGAGATCCGACAGCCTCTTCTGACCTCTGCAGGCATTTCACGACAAGAGTGCACTTACCTACATGCAGGCAATACACGCACACACATCAAATAAAAATAATAAATTTTTTTTTTTAATTAAGAAGTCTGGCCGGGCGTGGTGGCGCATGCCTTTAATTCCAGCACTTGGGAGTCACAGGCAGGTGGATCTCTGTGAGTTTGAGGCCAGCCTGATCTACATAATGAGTTCCAGGTCAACTGTGGCTACAGGGAGACCCTGCCTC